TGTTGGCAGTCTTGGCATTTCTGGAATTCCTGGGTTTCTGGATTTGTGGAATTTCTGGAATTTCTGGAATTTCTGTAATTTTTATCATTTTCTGAATTTCTAAAATTTTTGGAATTGCTGGAATTCCTAGGTTTCTGGATTTCTGGAATATCTGGAATTTATGTTTTTTTTTTTTTATGTTTTTTTTTTTTTTTTTTTTTTGTGGGGGGGAATGTATGGAATTGTTTGGCTTTTTTTGAATTTCTGGAATCTCTGGAATGTTTGGAATTTCTGGAATTTCGGAATTTCTGGAATTTCTGGAATTCCTGTGGGATTTCTGGAATTCCTGGGTTTCTGGAATTTCTGGAATTTCTTGAATTTCTGGATTTCTAAAGGTCTGCCATCTTGTACTAGTAATAAGGATACTAGAGGTTTGAGGAATTCCAGAAATTTTGGAAATTCTACAAATTCTACAAATTCCAGAAATTCCAAAAGTTCCAGAAATTCTTTGGGAATTCCAGAAATTCCAAAAATTCCAAAACATTTCTGGGATTTGTAGTGGAATTTTTGAAATTGCGGAATTTCCGAAATTCTGGAATGTTTGGAATTTCTGGAATTTCTGTGATTTCTGGGATGACTGGAATTTCTAGAATTTCGGAGATTTTTGTAATATCTGGACTTCTTAAATTCTGTCAAATTGTGGATTTTATAAAACTTTTGAAACGTCTGGAATCTTGGGAATTTCTGGAATTTCTGGAATTCCTGGGTTTCTGGATTTGGGAAATATTTTGGATTTCTGGATTTTTTGATTATATATACATATAAATAAAAAAAATAGGTTTTCAGAGATTTTTGGCATTCGTGGCATTCCTGGAATTCCTTGGTTTCTGGATTTCTGGAATTTTCTGAATGTCTGGAATTTCTGGAATTTCTGATATTTGTTGAATTTTTGGAATTTCTGGAATTTGTGGAATTGCTGGAATTCCTGGGTTTCTGGATTTCTGGAATATCTGGAATTTCTTCTTTTTTTTTAAAAAAAAAAATTCTGGAAATTCTGGAATTTTTAGAATTTCTGGAATTTCTGGATTTCTGGAATTTCTTCAATTTCTGGAATTCCTTTGGAATTTCTGGAATTCCTGGGTTTCTGGAATTTCTGGAATTTCTGTAATTTCTGTAATTTCTGGAATACCTGTGGAATTTCTGGAATTTCTGGAATTTCTGGAATTTTTTATTTGTTTTTGAATTTCTGGCATTTCTGGAATTTATCAAACCTCTGGTATCCTTCTGACTAGTACAAGATGGCAGACCTTCAGAAATCCATTCCAGAAATTCCAGAAATTCCACAGGAATTCCAAAAATTCCAGAAATCCAAAAATTCCAGAAATTCCTCAGGATAGCGGCGCCGGCCGTGACCTGCAATGAAATTTTTAGCATTGGGTTTTACCATTCGATTTTACCATTGGATCTTAGCATTGGATTTTAGCACCTTGCCGTGGCTTCCGCATGATATCGGCGCCGCGGGCTTCGGCGCTCAAGCGTTCGGCGCCGTTAGCATTGGATTTTAGCATTGGATTTTAACATTGAGTTTGAGCTCCTTGCCGCCGTTCGCATGGGATTTTCGCATTGGAGTTTCGCGTTGGATTTTAGCATTGGATTTTAGCATTGGAATTTAACATTGGATTTTAGCATTGGATTTTAACACGATCATGGGGGCTATTGAGATGAGTGAGAGGAGGAGGAGGAGGAGGAGGAGGAGGAGGAGGAGGAGGAGGAGGAGGAGGAGGAGGAGGAGGAGGAGGAGGAGGAGGAGGAGGAGGAGGAGGAGGAGGAGGAGTAGAAGAGGAGGAGGAGGAAAATGAGACGTTTTGCTGTGCCGTGCTGGTCTTGCTGTGCCGTGCTGGTCTTGCTGTGCCGTGCTGGTCTTGCTGTGCCGTGCTGGTCTTGCTGTGCCGTGCTGGTCTTGCTGCACCGAGATGGTCTTGCTGTGCCGTGCTGGTCTTGCCGTGCCGTGCTGGGCTTGCTGTGCCGTGCTGGTCTTGCCGTGCCGTGCTGGTCTTGCTGTGCCGTGCTGGTCTTGCCGTGCCGTGCTGCTCTTGCTGTGCCGTGCTGGTCTTGCTGTGCCGTGCTGGTCTTGCTGTGCCGTGCTGGTCTTAGCATTGGATTTTAGCATTGGATAGCATTGGATTTTAGCATTGGTTTTTAGCACTGGCTATTCGCATTGGCGTTTAGCATGTGCTTTTAGCATTGGTTTTTCGCATTTGCTTTTAGCATTGGCTTTTAGCACTTGCTTTTAGCATTGGATTCTACTTTCCAGTACCGTGCACCGTGCACTCCATCGAGAACGCAACTGTGCACTTACTGCTGTGCACTTGCGACTTTAGCAGCACTACACACTTACGGTTAACCGTGAAATATTGAAAACCCTACGAATTGCATCATAATTCGCAAGAGTGCGCGCGCAGATGCTTAGACAACCGATGTTGCAATACCATGTGTGATTTATTTGTTTCCAGGACACACCCCGCCGACACCAACAATTCTTGAAGGATTGCGGCATGCGCGCGAGACGAAGATAGCGTGCCGCTTCGCCCCATCAGTCGCAAGGGATTCCGGCGACAGCACGTGCGGCAGCGCGTTCGAAAGATTTCGCTATGCGCGCGCGAGAGGCACGTTCGTGCGCGCGCCAGTTTTTTTGAATACTGATGTTGCAAAACCATGTGTTGTGTATGATTTTCAGGCCACTCGATTTTGAATTCCGAAAGATTACGGCAGTCGCGCGCGACGACGTGCGCGCGAACACTTCGTCCAATTTTGTGCAAGGGATCCTTCCGACAGCACACGCGTAATTGCGTTCGAACGATTTCGACATGCGAGACGCGTGGTTGGTCGCATTTGATGAGCATGTTGAAATTCCAATGGTTTTCTCCAGAATTTGCAAGAGCGCGAGCGCATGCTTTTTGAAAGCTCATGCTGCGCAGCATTTCTAAAACAAATATGTGTATGTATGTATGCATAATATACACATGTGTGCACATGTGTATATATATATACATACATACATACATACATACATACATACATACATACATATACATATACATATACATATACATATACATATACATATACATATATTTACACACATATATAGACCATTGGGGAACAATACTTGTTTTTGAAATCCTCACGGAAACTCTGGCTGTTGTGAAAGATTCTGGCACCCGCGCGTGACCATGCGCGCGTGCACTTCGACCCCCCTGTTGCAGTTCATTCCTTATAACTGATGGTTTTTGAAAAGCGAGTGCGTGAAAAGGATGGGGATGGTCGTTAAGCGACTGCCTGGGATGGTCTGAATTCGTTTAAGATGGACGACGGGGCAAAACCACTTGTAACGGGCAGCGCCAAAAGGCTGGCAATTCAATCGAAGGCGGGGGGGGGTGATCATGCTGTCTTAGCACGGGGGGCTCATGCGGCGCAGTCGAAGTGGTGCAGTCTAGGTGGCGCAACCTGCGCGGCGCAACTCACCATGCCGAATTTGGAATTGTCAACTCCCCTTCTCGCGCAACCGTCCCGCCCGCCCACCCGCAATTTGGTTTTCAAAACCGGTGCGGCGGCGATTGCGATGAATGCTTGGCGTTGGCTGGTGCATCTCTGCGGCGGCGCTGGCCCGCGCATGCTCGCGCGCGAAGCGGCCGGCAAGTTTGACGTGACCGGCGCGGCCACGTTGACGCTGACCGCTAGGCACCTACTTCCCAGCGGGCACTTCAGTGCGAGCCGGCGATTTGGGAGGGCGCGGTATCATGGCAACGTCGATAGCGGTAGACGCAATGATGGCAGTAGCGATGCTGGTGGCGATGGTGTCAACGTCGACGGCAAGGCCAATGACGGCGCCGATGCTGATCACGCCGACGACGATGACGGCGCCCTCGCGTCGGCGATGGAGGTTTTGGAAGAACTTCGACATGCGCGCGAGGCCGACGCGCAAGAGTGACCGCATTGTATGTTTTGAGACGGATCGCACCCTGCCCACCCACCCCCAGCACGCGCGCAAGGGGGTCCGGATGATTTCGACGCGCGGCGCGAGAGGCGCGCTTGGCCGAACTTAACGAACATGTTTTTCAAACGAAAACCGAATGTTTCCTCATAAATTCTTAGGAACGCGAGCGCAGGCATGCTTGAACATCGATATAGCAAGAACAATCTGTTTGAATGGATTGCGGGCAATCCAGCGGGCATTCCCCAGCGGGCACTTCAATGCAAGTCGGCGAATTGGGCGGGTGCGGTATCGTGGCAACGTCGGCAACGGTGGACGCGATGATGGTAGTGACGATGCTGGTGGCGATGATGACAGAGACGACGGCAAGGCCAGTGACGGCGCCGATGCTGATCGCGCCGACGACGATGACGGCGTCCTCGAGTCGGCGATGGAGGTTTTGGAAGGAGTTCGACATACTCGCGCGGCCGACGCGCGAGAGCGGCCCGAGAGGCATTACAAGCCGCGGATCGCGCCCCCCCTGCCCCCCAAGCACGCGCGCAGAGGCGCCCGAGTGATTTCGACATGCGGCGCGAGGGGCTACTTTGGCATAGTTCAATGAATATATTGAAAACCTATGGGTTCTTTGGGCTCCTGGAAAGCCCAGACGAGGCCTCGAGCTCCCTCGCGCGGTTTCCAGCTGTGCGGTTGTCGCCACGTTCGTTGGCTCCTGGGAGGCCCAACGGAGCGGGATCCAACGCGGACGCAGACGGGAATCTAGGGGACTACGCGCTCTCCCCTGGGGTTGCCAACCGCGCAACTGTCGCCACCTTCGTGGGCTCATGGGAGGCTCAGCGGAGTGGGTCCCTCGCAGTTCCAGTGGAGACCTCGCGCTCCCTCGCGGGACTGCCAATTGTTGCAGCTGTTGTTTCCTGCCCGTTTCCTTCGGCAGTGCACCTTCAAGGTACCATGGGTGTACAACCCAGAGCCTTCCAGTGTAGCATTGAAAGAAGATCGCGTCCCTCGTCGAGTGCCCTGGTTGATGATACCACTCGTTGCAAACGCGTTGGGTACGTCCCTCGATGTTTTATTGTGTGGTGTGTGCCGAAAGGCGCTGGCGACCTCCTACGTCGCGCAAGCCCAACTCGCCTGTCACACTGCGCTCCCAAGCCAAGAAGCGCGCAACGCGCTCTTCATGGCAATTAATTCGGCGGCACTGGCAGAATTCAGTGCGCATCCCCACAAGGTGCGGTGGCTTACACGCTGCTGAGTACGTGCGCCACAGCAAGACTGCCCGCGCGTGGATCACAATCCCCTACCTCCTCAACTAAATGTAAGCGATGGGTGCTCCATCCCCTCCCATTCCTGACACCACTCAAACACAGCTGTATTGTAAAGCGTGCAGTGGGAACGCGTCTTGTCGCCCTGCTGTACATAGCGACAATATTACCCGACGGTTCCCGCAGAAAAGAGAGAGCATATCGTCCCACACCCTTGCTACTAGGCTCGCGTATTGCAACCGGAAGAGCGCGCATCATGGCAGGGGGGCATCACGTCTACGCGCCCGCCCTCTTCATTTTCTTCCTCGCAGGATCTCCGTCCTTCTCGGGGACCGCGACCCTGTCGTCGGCGTCCCGGATGGCATACCGGGCGACGGTCGATGTGCCGTCGATGAAGCGGGTTCGGAAGAGCACGTTCGCGTGGTTGAACATACCTTCCTTCAGCGACACGATGATGAACTGAGAGTGGGGGAAGTGCTGGCGGATCATCGCGCCGATGTTCTGCGTATGGCTCAGATCCAATGCGGAATCGATCTCGTCCAAGATGTACATCGGCGCCGGCTTGAAGAGCAGCAGGGCCAGCACCAGCGACAGGGCAAGCAGCGACCGCTGGCCTCCGCTGAGCTCGGTCAGAGACTGCTTCCAGGCCCCGTGGAAGGCCACCTTGATCTCGAGGCCCTCGGTGGCGTCTATGCCCTCTGGGGGCTCGAGCTTGGCGTTGGCATGCGGCAGAAGCGTCGCGAAGATGGAGTCGAAGTCCTTGTTCACCTTGACCCATGTACGGCGGAGCGTCTCAGCCTTCTTGTCGTCCAGGTCGTGAATGACCTGCTCGATCTTGCACTTGTCGTTCAATATTATGTCCCTCTTCTGGAGGAGGTCCTTGTATTCCTGCTCGGCCTTCTCGAACATCACCATCGCCTTCTTGTTGATGTTTTTCGACAACCTGTTCTGCTGCTTCTCCAGCTCGTCGCACCTCTTCTTATTCTCGCCGTAATCGTTGGCCTCGAAGTCGAAGTCGGTGCCCTTCTTGCCAAATATGTTCTTGTCCTTCTCGATCCAAGGGTGCTCCTTCTCCATCCTGAGCACCACGCTGCTGGCCTGCTTGTCGTCCTTCTGGAGCTCCTCGATCTTGTGCCGCCTCTTCTTCTGCTCGAGCTCCTGCTCCTCCCGCTGTTGGCGGTTCGCGGAGGACTCCGCGGCGAGCCCGGCGAGGCTCTCGTCCAGCTTCTTGAGGTGGTCACGCATGCCCTCCAGCTTCTCGCCCAGCCTCTGGTGTGCCTCCCTCTGCCTCTGCAGGCTGTCCTTTAGGGCCAGCGTCTCGGCCTCGAAGTCGCCGTGGCTCTGCACCGTCGCCTGGTCCTTCCCCTCATGCGCCCCGAGCTCGCCCTTGGCAACCTCGTACTCCACGTGGAGAGACTCGAACTTCTCGCGCTGTTTCTCGATCTTCTCGGCGTGCTTCGTCGCCTCGCCCTTCAGTCGCTCGACCTGCTCCTCAAGGTGCTTGATCCGGCCCTCGCGGCTGGAATCGAGGTTCTTGATGTCTTTCTCCAACAACTTGACCTGCTTCTCGAGCTGCCTCTTCTCATCTGGCATGTTCTTCAGCGCCTCCTCCAGCGAGGAAAGCTGCTCCCGGGCCTCCTGCACCGCAGTCTCGGAGGCGTGGTGCGCGCTGCGGCTGATGGTATCCTGCATCAGGGTGAACTCGTGCTCCCTCACCTTGAGCTCCTGTAGACGATCGACATTTGATTCATGCCCCTGCTCACGCCAGAACTCCAAGAGGGAGCGAAGTAGGGGCATGGATAAGAACCTGGCGCCTGGAGATCAACTTTTTCCCCACTTTGGCGTTGCCTAGATGGCTTATACTTGTTTTTGGAAAGCCGGTGGGTGCGAAGCCTGCGCCGGCCAACGATCCTCTGGGTTGCTTGGTCATGTCTCCTTACTGCCTTTCCCGGTGTTGCTTGGTTTTGCTTATTACAGCAATTCTTGGGCTGTTTGGTATTAATTTCTTTCTGCGTTCCCCAAGATGCCGAGTCTTGTTTCCTTACTGCATTCCCCGGGTTGCTGCGTCTTGTTTCCTTATTGCCTGCATCGGGTTGCTTGGTCTTGTTTCCTATTGCCACGCAGCAAGCCTGGCAAAACCAAGCAACGCAAAGCAATGCCAAGGAACGCCAAGCAATGCGAAGCACCGCCAAGAACCGCCACGCAATGCCGAGCAATGCCAAGCAATGCCACGACGCCAAACAATGCCAAGAAACGCCAAACTATGCTAAGCAACGCCAAGCATTGGCAAGAGATGCCGAGCAACGGCAAGCAATGCAAAGCAACGCCAAGCGAAGCACCGAGATGCCACGCAAAACAAACTTCTGCCCTCGTTATTAGGTAATTACTTCAGAAGTCTTCCTCTAATTGGGATCGCGCAGGGATAATTTGTCCACGCCCTGTCCCCCCCTGGTGCCATGAGTGGGGGACAGCAGCAGGTGTATGGATCCAACGCCCATCGCCGAACCTGCTCCAGCGCCGCGTACTGGGTCGCCGCGGCCTTGTTCTTCTCGAGCTCGGCGCGCAGCTTCTGGTACTCGGACTGCTGGGCGTGGACCTGCCTCTCCACCTCCTGCAGCGCCTGCAGCTGCTGGAGGACGCCGCCACCCCGGGGCGCGGAGCCCCCGGTGAGGGTGCCCTGGGGATCGTAGGTGTCGCCCTGCTTGGTGACCGACCTCACGCGGACGTCTGGGTGGAAGGTCACCTTCTTGGCGGTCTCGGGGGTGTCGCAGACCAGCGAGCCTCCGAAAACGAACTTCATCACGGCCTGGACGTCCTTCTGGAAGCCGACGATCTCAAGGGCCCACTGCACGTCGCCCCCGGGCGGCATCACGTTCCTCGCCTGCCTCACGACGTTCGGGTGGATGGTCCGGTCCTGGACCTTGTTGAGCGGGATGATGTGGACGCGGTTGCGCAGCTGGCCTGGCTCGAGGAGCGGTTTAGCCGTGGCGTCGGTGTCCGTCACGATGAAGTACAGCCTGCCGCCGGCCACAACCTCCAGGGCGCGGTGATATGACCCAAAGTCCGGCTGGATGTGGAAGAGCTTGGCGACGACTCCCTTCACGCTGTTCGGGTCGCGGCCCATGGCCTTCGTCTTCTGCTTGCACTCCTCGAAATTGAACTCGACCTGGCCGGCGCACGCTCGCAGACTGTTGAACTTCTGCTGCAGCGAGAGCAGCGCAGCCTCGCCCTCGCGCACGGCCCCCACGAGCTTCGCGTGGCCCTCGGGGTCGAACCTGAGCTTCTGCAGCTCCGAGCGCCGCTCCGTGATGTGGGCCTCGATGGCCGCCTTCTCCTTCAGCAGCCGCTTCCCCTCAGTCTTGCTCTTGGACATGTTCTGCTCCATGGAGGCGATGCGCTCTTTGAGGTTCGCGATGCCTAGGGACCGCTTTTTCTGCTCGGAGTCCAGGGTTTGCAGCCTCGTCTGCGTCTCGAGGAGCTGCTCTCGGAGCGACTTGTCCTCCCCCTCGCCGTCCGGCACCGGCTGCGCCGCCATGCCGGCGGTGAGCGCGGACATCTGCCACTGGGCCTTCTCGATGTCCTTCTTGAAGCTGTTCTGCTGGTCGATGAGGGCGTCCCACTTCTCCTTCTCCTTCTGGTACACCTTCTCCTTCGACTCCATCTGCCTGCGCAGCTCGCCGAGGGCCCCCTGCGCCTGCTTGCGCGCCTCCTGCTGCGTCTGCAGGTCGGACTCGCGATTCTTCAGCTTCGACTCGCTCGACACCACGTCCTTCGACAGCTTCGAATGTTCCTCCTCGAGCTTCTTCAACTCCTTTCGAGGAACCATCAAATGGCACAAACATGATTTCTCGGAGGTCCGCGCGATATTTCTTGGACCGGCGCTGGTTCCCCGCTCCACCCCTGGCGCGCGATGGCGCGCGGAGTGCGCCAGGGGCGGCGTCGGAGGCACCGCCAGGGGGGCCCAACGCCGAGCGGACCTCCAAGGAGGCATGTTTATGCCGTTTTGTACTGTTCGATCCTTGGAGTGCTCATTGTCGCGCTGGGCCGTCTGCTGCTTGATCAGGCTCTGGATTTCGACGTCGCGGTCGTCCAGCTGCTTCACGCTGCTCACGAGTGCCTGCAGCGCCTCCTCCATCTGCTCAAGGTGCTTGTTACGGTTCTGGAGGCGGTCCTGGACCTGAAGGAACTCGTAGGCGATGCAAAACCTCTGGAGGCGCTCCATCTCGTTGTTGTTGGACACCCACAGCATGTAGTTCTGACGCTCCTTTTGGAGCTTCTCCAGAGTGGGCGTGATCTCCTCGGAGAGCAGCTTGTTGATCTCGTCGACCTTGGCCTGCTTCTTCTCGAGGGTCTTGAGCGCGCCAGCCTTTTTGTTTTCGTACATGCGGGTGCCCGCCGCTTCCTCTATCATGGAGAGGGTCTCTTGCGGCTTCATGTTGATCACCTTTGTGATGCGCCCTTGCATGATCAGGAAGTGCGGGTTGTTCACGTTGAGGGAGACCGAATGGAACAAGTTCTGGATCTGATTCTGCTGCACGTTATGGGAGTTCAATAGATACCGGTTGCGGCCACCAATGACGATCTGCCTGGTGATCGTGATACGATCGTGCATCTCGTAGCCGACTGGGCCGCAGGACTTGTCCTCGTTGTTGAATACCACCGTGACGCTAGCCTTCGTGACTCCTGCCTGGCCCTGCTTATACACCAGCTCCGATAGATTACCCACCCGAACCTGCTGTAAATTCGAGATGCCAAGAACAAAACAGATGGAGTCGAGGATGTTCGACTTGCCGCTCCCGTTCAGGCCCGTGATCGCGTTGAACTGCTTGTCGAAGGGACCCACGCTCGTTCGCGTGGAGTACGACTTGAAGCCGTCAAGGATCAGCTCCTCGATGAACATGGCGGCGGCAGCAAGAAACGGAGCTGCTCGGGAGCGTCACTCGGCGGTGGACAAGCCTCCCTTTAGTAAACCTCCCCTCAGTGAAAGCGGCCTGGGACCGAAACCGACGGACCTGAACCCGCAAAAATGACGGCCGCGACGCCCTCTCGCGAACCGACAACAGCCGATTCCTTAATCGACGCGTCAGGGTAGGAGGTCTGTCCACCCCCGAGTCGAGGAGGAGGAGGAGGAGGAGGAGGAGGAGGAGCAGGAGGAGGAGGAGGAGGAGGAGGAGGAGGCTTCTCTCCTGCGCAGCCCCGAGCCCCAGGGCGGAGGCCTGCGAGCTCTCGGCCGTGCGCGGCCCCCACGGCGGCCGCGCCGGTCCCCGGGAGAGGCGGCTCGAGCAAGAGCGCCCGCGAGGACGAGCAGTGCTCCCTAAACGGGTCTCGGGCTCCTGGCGGAGGCATCGCAGCTCCTCGGGGAGGGGGTCCTCGGGAGGCTCTAGAGAGCCTCCTCGAGGTCTCCGCGCGGGCGCGTATGTTTCTCCCGTCGGCCCGTTGGACATGCGACGGGCGGCTGCAGCGCGCAAGGCCGAAACAACTATATCCACAGGCCAAAGCTGTTTTTTTGGCCCGTGGAGTTGATGCCATCAAGGCCCCGAGCCCGCTCTGTTTTTTCGTTGGAGCTGGCTGCCTCTTCAGCCTCAGTTGCGAGGCGGGCACTTATCCGTATCCACCGCCTGGGAACAGACGTTCTGGTGCACCAGCGGGCGGTGGATATGGACATATTTGGCTTCACTGGGGCCCGAATATATCCATGTCCACCGCCCGCCGACGTCCCCGAAGGTCGACCTCCCAGGCGGTGGTTAATGGATAAATCCCCGCCTCGGAAGCCGGCTGCTTTTTCAGCCTCAGAGTGCCTCTCCAATCTCCAGGCGACTCGTGCTGGCCCGAGAGGGCGCCGAGAGGCCTCCGAGATGGCCCCAGGAGGGGCCCCAGGAGGCGCTCCGCGCAGGCCCCCGTGAGGCGAAAACCATTCAGGCTCTTGTGATTACCGCGCAGGTTTTACACTCTTCACTCTTCAGCTCCAGGTGTCTCGAAGAAGGGCCCCAGAGGGTTCCAAGCGGGCCGAATAGGCCCACAAGAGTCCCCGAAAGCACCCAAATCGCTATCAAGATGGCCCTGGATGGCCTCGAAGACAGCTTTCCAATGGCTCCAACACGGTCCAAGACCGCCCGAAGATGGCTCTGATACCCCCTGGATCTCCAGATCCCCGCGGACGGACTCTTCGGGGCCCCAGGATGAACCGAATATGCTTCAGAAAGGCTTCAACAGAGCGCAAGAAAACTGCAAGAAGGACAATGTTGCCCCAATAGGGCCCCCAGAGGGCTGAAGGCAAGACAGGCAAACGATTTCGCGCCCCCGCAAGGGAGGGCGTTTCCCGTTCACGGGCTCGCCCAGCTTCAACACGCTTCTGACTTTGTGGGCCAGCGAATGTCCTACACTCTTAAGGTCTTGGGTTTATGATTCTCTGTGGAGGTGAAAATAGAAAGAAGGGGAGGATGAGGGGGAGGAAGCAAGAGGGACGATGTGATGATGAGGATGCTGCTGAGGATGACGATGCTGCTGCTGATGATGATGATGCTGCTGAAGATGACGATGCTGAAGGTGGTGTTATGAGGAAGACGAAGATGATAATGCTGAAGCGGCTGCTGCTGCTGCTGCGGACGTTGATGACGACGATGCTGCTGCTGATGCTGATGATGATGATGATGCTGCTGCTGCTGATGACGATATTTTCCTCAACGACATTGCCTGAAGGTTCGCTCGCATCGTCAGTATGGACCCGGACGCACAGGAAGCGCTGCGCAAGAACCCCGCCTGTGCATGAACAAAATCAAGATGGGGAGGAGGAGCGGAGGAACGGAAGATTGCCCTTGCAAGCGAGAGCGGCAAGCGGTGTCGCACAGAAACCCCGGCCCCGAGCGACCAGTACTACAATTCAACACCACACGAGGTTGGAATGCGAAGAGGAGAAGGAGGAGATCCCCTGCGGCCCAAGCGGCCACTTCTAGAACGCAGCGCACGCGCAACGAAATCCCAGAGGGGAAGAATGTGGAAGGGAGAGAAGGACGAGGAGGAGAGGAGCGAGGAAACTCGCGGCCCACAGGCTGGATGCAAACGTGGCCCGAAAGGCTGTGGATGTGCCGGAGAAGCACTGCCACCTGCGCCGATGTATCTCCCCTAACCTCGGCGGCCAGTGATACGAAACACAATCCTCAAGCAAAGCGAAGAAAGGCGGAGTAGAAAAATACGAAACACTGGATTATCCACTTCAGAGACAGCTCCTTCCGGCGGACGCTGTGAGCTCGCCAGGAGCCTGCGTAGCAAGACTGCCCGCTTCATGCACGCGCAACCGCAAGTACAGGTGGGCTGCTAAAATCAGGAACGCCAAATCAGGAACGAAGCCCCCCTGCGGCTTCAGAAAAGCCTGGGCGCACGAGCAGGGCCGGAGGACCGAGCGCGGAAGGACGTCAGGAACATCGAGCCCCCTCCGAACCCAACCTGTTCCTCACTTCAGCGTCCTGGCTGCACACCGAGCCAAGCCCACAGCCTGGAGAGGGGGGGAGGAGAGAGGAGCCGAGAGGCGACGGCGGAGGGAGCGCGCGCTGGCCCGGCCGTCTCCGCAGGGGGCTCGCTTCGCTCGCGAGCTCCCGAGCGAAGCGAACCCCGCCCTCCCCCTCCGAAAGCGTGGGGGGGGGCGGGGGCAGGGTTCGCGTGCGCGTGCGGCCCCCCCAGTCCCAACACGACCCCCTTCCCCCCCCCCCCCCCGCAGGAGCAGAGGCCGAGGTGGCCGTGGCACGAGCAGAGCCGAGGCTGCGGCCACGCGCGCAGGACGGGGCGCGCGGGCTGCGCGGACGCGCGGCACTGCGCACAGCACGCTCGCTGCACGGACAAGCAGTCCGCAGCGAGCAGTTGGCAGTTTTTTTTTGCGGGTTGACTGTGTGCGTGTTGACTGTATCTCAGCTTCGAGCTGCCTCGTTCGAGGGGGGGGGGGGGGGCGAGGGCAAGACGGGCAGAGGAGGCAGATGCCGGCCCCGGCAGGGGCTTTCCGCCTCCTGGAGGCGAGGGCGGGAGGACGGAGCAAGGAGGGGGGAAGCGGGCACCCGTCCCCTACAGCCGCACGGCCGGGGCAGAAACAAGCCGCGCCGCCCTCCGCACTGCTGGTGCGACTTATCTTCTCCGAGCTGTTCATGCCACCGCAGACGCACAATAGCCTGGGGCTCGGGCAGAGCGCGGAAAGAGACAGAACAATACCCTTGACAAGCACAACGTTCCAGAACAGGGCCCTGCCCAGGGGCCAGAACATACTGATCACAGCCAGCGGCCGCACTTTGCAGCACCATTCACGAGCAAAGCCCTGCTCAGGGGCTAGCAAACTGATCACCGTCAATCCAAAACAAGACCCTGTTCAGGGGCAGTAGAACTGATCACCATCATTCCAGAACAAAGCCCTGCTCAACAGCAATAGCACAATGATCACCCTCCCGGTACAGCCAAACTTGATAGGCGAAACGTTCCAGAACAAGGCCCAGCTCAGGGGCAATAATATGCTGATTACCACAATTCCAGAACACGGCTCAGCTCAGAGGTAATAACATGATGATCACCATCATGCCAGAACAAGGCCCGCTCAGGGGCAATAGCATACTGGTCACCATCATGCCAGACCATGGCCCGCTCAGGGGCAATACCATACTGGTCACCACCATTCCAGGGAAGACCCTGCTTAGGGGCAACGACATACTGATCACCATCATCGGCTTGAAATCGCGGATAGGCTAGTACTTCGGAGGTACCTGCGGGCAGCCCAGGACAAGGTACTTGGGAGGTACCTGCGGGCAGCCCAGGAATGGTTTTTGGGAGGTACATCCAAAACTTGTAGGTGCAGATCTTCCAGAACAAGGTCCTTGCTGGTGGCTCTGCGCGAGGTGCAATTAGCTCTCCTGATAAGGCTGGAGCTGCTGCCGAAGCACGGAATGTACACCGCCCTGCATGCCATGTTGCTCTATCTCGTCGGGCTGGATAGTGGCGAGGTGTTCGACAACATGGAGGTTCCCGGCAGTGGCGTGTTGCTCGAATACGTCGTGTTGAAAGAAATGGCAGTGCTTGACTCCGGGTGACCCGGCAGGACCATCCATATCATGGAAGCGCTCCACAGTGGTGCTGGATATCAGTCAGGTGAGTCAGGTACTCGACTCCGTGGTGATGGTCAGCGCGGTAGCGCAAAATGTCACATTGCTGGGGACCAACATAGTTAATGCTCGACACCGTTTTGGTTGACGACACGGCAGCGAACGATTCCGCCATGCTGAATACCGACGTGTCGCTCGACTCCGTCATGGTGGAGATGATCCTGATGTTGACTCTAATGATGATGGGGGTGAGGAGGAGGAATCCACATACCAATGGAGGACAAGCGATGAAGATGATGATGATGATGAAAAGGAAGAGGGACACCATAGTAAACCCAACATGTATCAACGATGCTGTAACACACCATCCTATGCCCCAGCAAGCATTCTTCTTCATTGCGCGAAGCGCGCCCTTGAAAAACGAGCGCCCCACGGGCCTGCAATTCCACCCGCGCAGTTGTTGAGAACTTCAAACTTGCTATCGTCACCGGCGAGAGGTCTCGGGCGAAACGGTCGAAACGCTCGACCCGCCCTAACGGCACGCCTGGCGGTGAGAAAGGGAGGAGTTATTCTTGAGGGAAATGGACGGGGGAGGAGGAGGATGATGGCGCACTCGTGGAAATGTCGCGCGAAGCGCTCGACGTGCACATGGAAGTGGGGCGAGCCGATGAACTCCTCAACGAGCGCTTCAGGGCGAGCCCTGCCCACAGGAAGGATCACGGCCGGAAAACACGAGGAGGAGGAGGAGGAAAAAGAGGAGAAGGAGGACAAGGACATCCGCATAAGGGGGTGCAACGTCAGAACATCTACTCAGGTGTCTTGCGCACTGCTGTCAAAATCGCCTGCGATTGGTTGTGCTACAGCCCTGCAAGAAGAGGAGGAGGAGGAGGAGGAGGAGGAGGAGGAGGAGGAGACGGTGCCCTGCATGCGCGCCTCGTTGCCCAGCAGCTTAACCACAACGTCGCGCCAGGTCAGCGTACTCATGTTCACGCCGCGGGCCTGGATGACGTCCCGCTTCTTGGTCTCCACCGCGATCTCGGAGAAGCGCAGGAATATCTCCACCTGTCGAGGTGGACGAGGGGCGGGTCTAGCAGAGGGGGGGCGCTGCGGACCTGCAATGTGCAATTGGCTTTCCCTGTCGCCTCGCGGCGCCGGAGGCGACCATGTACCGAGGAATGTGTCCGGCGGGGGAACCGAAACCTTCTGCACT